GTCTGTGCCCCTCCCCTCAAAAGAGGCAAGCAACAGGTGCTGGCGAAACGTTAGAAAAAAAAACTCCCAGACCACGGCCACACAGCCCGGAAGACCCACACCAGCCATAGAATCTTGCTAGATTCAACTCAAAGAATTGGAGGGGAGCATTATGGCAGCACATAAAGTGGTCCCACCTACCCACACACCATGGTAATGCATATTCCAATTACAGCAACTGTATAAATAATGTTTTCAATGGATTTCATTGGATTCATGAACCAACCTGTTCATTGTCTCAAAGATTCTAGTCATAATAACTTGCTCATTTTTCTTCAGATTTAATGGAAGAGTCCAATTATATAAGATCTGCAGAGAGAGAGAGAGAGAGAGAGAGAGAAGGAGATGATTAAGAATTTTAATAAGTTTGATTCCCATTCCACCTCCTCACCAAATTCCAGTTGCTAATTTGATAGAAAAGACTCCAAGTATGTTGGTATATAGAGATCTTAAAAACCAGTAATATATACAGTAAACTGGGTGAGAGTCATTCCTTGATTAAGCTGATAGCTCAGCATGATTAGTTGATCAATGGGAAGTAACAGGAATTATATCCTAATGGGTGTGAACCCATTAGGGATAAAAGATCTGTGTGTCAGGGGGTCAAATTAGAAAAGTGCACATTAAACCCATGGTTTTCTGTTTGTTTTAAAGTGTGAGGGGGAGGGGGTGTCTTTTGTAGCCAAAGGACTTTATAGAGAGAGGAGCAAATGCCTTTTTTTAACCTTGCCATGTTCAACAGTTTTACATCATCTGCCTAGCTTCCAACTGGAAGTGAATTGTTTTGGAGAAAAATGACTTAAAGCAGCTACATTTCATCCTTCTTCTCTGCTCTTTTTGTACTGGAGGGAAGGGAAAGAATAGATCACGTCCCTCCACCTCTCCTGACTATATGGGCAAAAGATATGCATGTATTTAATAAACATTCATATAATGAATGTTGCCCGGAGACAGAAGATGGCAGTTTGAAACAAAGGAACTGGTATATTGTGGAAAACAGAGAAAGGGAGAAGCACAATTTCTAATTGAAGTTGGCTGTAATTATACTGTATTATATACCTGGAAGCTCCCCAGATTTCTTACTGAGAGATTGCCTGCCTTATAACTATGCCTGCTGATCTCCTTTCTTGCTTGTATATGTAAACAAAGCAATTAACCTTATAAAGCCAAGCATTTAGCACTATGTCTTCAACATTCATTCACCCAGACCTGCTCTAACATCTGTACTTGTTTAATGGCTGAATGAAAAAGATCCCATATACGCCAGCTCAAGTTTTAATGTGAAAAATAGAAGAGATGTAAGTCAAATTATCAAATCCTTTTAAACTGCAGGCCTCTGCTCATATACCTGGTAACCCAGTTGGACTTATTTCCTAGTAGTAATGTGCAAGATTAAATGGCACATAAATATCAACATTCTTGGTGCATTTGCCTTGTTAATGTAATTTTTCATGTTGATATCTGCTTTGGGCTCTAGAACTTTGTGCACACTTTCCTTGGAGATCTATAGGACTTCTAATCCTTTCCACATTGCCTGATAAGAGGACTATGAGCAGATCTGTAAGAGGGAGAAGCAGATTCAAATGTTTAAAGTCTTACTTGCTGTTGACGTTTCCTTTTGGGGCTGGAGTCTTCTATTTGTCCAATTTGAACTACAATATAGTCTTTTGGTTGTCGCTCAGCTACAAAGGGTCCTCCCAGTTCTATCTTTAGAAGGACGGAATCACTAAAACTGCTAAAGTTCACAGCTGATAGAAAGACAGTTAAGGACTCCACATTTTTCAAAGAGATGAAAGGCCTATGGTCTTTTAAATTATGTGATTTGTGATGCCACCATAAAAAAACTAATAATAATATCATCCCCCTTTCTCATTATACTGTGATTTGATTCTTTACCATTCCTGTAATTTTTGAATAGCTAATTAATTCAAACCAGCCAATTCTTATTTCAGAGACTTAAGAACATGTCTCTGTGAATAGCGTTCTGCCTGAAATCTTATTAACTCATCCCTGATGAATGGAAATAACTATTTATATAAAGGAAAAAGAAAGAAGAATATTTCCCAGGAGAAAATGTGATTTGCCTTTCTTCTTCCTGACTGGTACTTATAAGAGATTGGAATATCCAGATTCCCTTGAAATCATGAAATCACTGGAGGGAGAGCCTTAGCTTAGAAACAGTATCACAAAGACCTGACTGCCTTCATGTGTTGCAGGCAGAGAAAAGGGTAATATGATATATATCAAAACATATTCTACCTCTAAATCCCATTTTTCCTGCCCTGTGCACTCATGGGTTACTTTGGAGGACACATTAGGTTCATATTCATGGCCTAAAAGTGGTAATGATGACAGTCTCCCCTTGGGACAAGCACACACAGAACCAGATGTTATCATGATCGGTATTCCTTGACAATGCTGGTTTCTTCATCATTCTTCACTGTGTCTTCTTGGCACACATAATACCTGTGTTACTTCACAAAGTTCCCAGTTGGTTTGAAAACAACATATTGAATACGTCTGGGCATTGACATGGCAACTGTCCATACTATGTTCAGATTCATATGCAACCTGGCACAATACATCAGAAGGTCATCCAGCAAAAGGTGGCATCAAAAAATGATGAAGATGTATACAGTGGCCCTCAGTCACAATTCATATAGATACACAGTAGATAGATGATATACAGAGATAGAGATAGAGATAGAGATAGAGATAGAGATAGAGATAGAGATAGAGATAGAGATAATCTCAGAAACCAGGGTTGGTTTTTGAAGATCTACTGTAGATGTCCTATGACTGCATTTAAAACAAAAATCCTCACAGTATTGTTATACTGTATATGATTTCCAAATGGACAGTCATTACATTACCTTCAACTGTCTACAGTACTTGTGTTTTTAATCTGACAAATGTTATTGCTACACAAATATATTAAGAATGTTATACATTTATTTTAATAATTGTCTGCAACTTTTAAAATATTGAAGTTTTGAATGACCGCTACAATTTCCAGGTTGACTTGTATACAGTGTGCTTCAGAGCCTGACTCTTTGAATTGTGGTTCAAAAGGTTTGCTGACCTATATTAATTAACCTAACAGCCCAAAACACTTTGACAGCCTGTAGCCAATTTTAGGAGTGTAGCCATAATTTATATCCACAAGAAGCTTCAGGTGCACATAATTACAACTGCTTCGTTTCTCACAATATGACTAAAATATACCCTGTAATTACACAAATAGCATATTCAGGGGCCATTATCCAAAAAAAAATCCTTCAAAATTATAGGAAGAAAAAATGGAATTCATTTCACAGTATATTAATATAAAACAAAGTGACCAGCGCTTTGGTTTGATACCTTAAATCACACCAAAAATGTGTCATCATTTGAAACACTGAACCAGAATGCTTATGGCTGTGTGTCAGTTCAACAAGAACTGCAATATGACCTACTACACAGAGCAACAGGCTCTTTTAGCTAGAGTCTTAGCAGTTGAACTTAATATTCAAGATGTTGCTTTTAACTGAATAAAATGGACCTAGATTATTCATTCCCTGGGGCATCCACAGGGGGCCATCTTGACTTTTTGACACATGTACTCCTGAGGACGCCTGTACTCATTCCCTGTTTATTTTTGGTATTTGATCTTCTTACTTTCCTGACCTGTTTCTCTTTGCTCAACTACCACAGTGTCATTATGGATTATTTCCTCAATAATGTCTCTTTCTCATTCTCTAACCATTTTCTTCCCACTTCAGTTATTTCAGCTGAGGAGGGGGGGAAATTCCCCAATTCACTCTCTTGTGCATTTCTTTTTATTGTTGTCTTCAACTTCTCAAAAATCCTCATAATGTTAATGTGTGTAGCTATTTCATTTATCTATTTCAGGTATTCATTTTATTTGGGGTCCATTTTTATAAAGTCAAAATTACCCAATGTCCAGAATTTCTTCATTAAACGAGACAAAAATATAGATGGCAAAGGTTTGTCCATTGAAACAAAGGGCTTTCAGTGATGGTCTCACAAAAGTCTGAGTAGAAATTCCTTTTTGTTCAAACTAGTTTGCGGCCTTGAATTAGGGTTGCTACCTCAGCTTTCATATACAGACAGATACAGTTGAACGTGGCCCCTTCCAGTCTTGGCCAAGCTGAACTTATTCAACCTGACAGGTGCAGAGAGGTGAGAAATCCACTTGGTTCTGTTTTGACAAGACATCAATATTCTCAACATTCTTTACAGAAGGTATGGGAAGTACTTCAGATTCAAAATCATTAGATGTAGGAGCAAGAAAAATTGATACATTTCTCTGTCAAAATCACTTCCATGCTGTTGCCCAGAAAACTGTATAAACATGTCCATTAAGTCACCAGAAGATGAGCTTGACTCAAAGGAGACTTTACTTTTATCATCTATCATCTATTATTTATTTATCTTGCTTATCTGTGTGTCTTTAGCCATTAGCCACATTTCAAGAGACTTTTCCACCCATTCATAGCAACTCAAGAACTAATTTCCAAGGAAGCATCTTGTGCAGGTAATCTGAATCACCAAGTTAGCAATACAAGAAATCTCCTTTACGATCATCCTACCAGTTTGTCTTTTTGTTTGTTTTGGTTACTTGTTTATTTTATAATTCATAGCAGATAATACACCTTTTTTGTACTCTAGTGTTTTATTATTTCATACGATTTTATTGCCCTTCTGTTTTACCTTCTGTTTTGGTGTTTTGCTATTTTGTTACTCTGTTTTTTGCATTTCTCTAGAGGAACCTGAATGCTTAGGGAAACAGGATGAGGCAGTCAGGATAATAAGCTATGAGTCCATTTTCTTTCATGTTGAAAGTGGGAGACAAACGCAAGAAATCCAATCACAACAACTTCAGCAAGTTCTTAAAATGTCAGCAAAAATTGTTGCAGGATGAGTTTAGGACCACAGTATGCTAATAGCCATAAAAGATACCTAAAAACAGGCAATCTGGTAGCCCCCAAGGAAATGGCACGTAAGATGAAAAACCTTTGAATGTATAAAAAAAATTACTGCATTAGAATGAAAGTACAAAGGTCTGTAGTCATCCAAGGTGGAGTTAGGAGAAAAATTTTAACCAATGGGAGGAGCATGGACACTGTTATAGATCAGCAGCATCCCATTTATTCCCAATTCCAATTTGGATGCCATGGCCCAGGATTGGCTAGTTACAGTACAAATGGTGATTTTAATTTATGACCAACTTTTACCTGGCTATCAGTACTAAAAAAGATGAAATTAAAAGTATGTCTAAACTATAGATCCAGCACCAAGGCTATATAATGGCAAATGCAGAGACAGAGGGAGTTCTTATAGGAATGAAGTGTAAAAAAAAAATCTGTAAAGTAGAAAGTGGAAGGTGGAAGTAGAAACAGAGTGGATAGAGAAACATAGAGAACAACAGTACACTATCAAACCCTTGCCAAAGCCAACCAGCACCTTCTCTAAGAATACAAACACACATACCATGGAAATGCAACTCCCTTCTCCCTGAATGTGTGATGTTACAAACAGCATCAATCAGCACAGGTAAGTGGCATAATCATTAGGCTTTAAGTCAACATTTGTTCTGTCAAGTCTATATAAACAACTTGCATTTGGCTACCCAGTCAAAATATGTGAGGGAGAATTTTCTAAGACTGAAGCAACCCACAACAGGTTATCAGAATGAGGAATTTCCTGGCAACTTTCAAAATTGCATCACACCAAGTCTGTAAAGATCAGCAAATCTGATGTTTATATGTCAAAGTGCTCATGGACATATTTCTTGCTCACATTGAATTATAATTATATCTTCAAAGTTTGTATTTCAAAATTTGAAGACTGGTACTCTAATGGACTCTGGAATTGTGCTTTTGCACTTTGTATTTTTCTGTAATCTTGTAATGCCAGGATATTTTAATGCCTTTTAGCCCTTTAATGGATGAAGGAAAGGAGTAGAAGAAGGAGGATTATGCATGATTTTCTCTCCCTTCAACTTTCACACGTTTCTTGGAAGGCCGCGTACAGTTATCTATGATTCCATGCAATTGAAACAGAAGGGTTTTTCAACTATTCAGTTATTAAACTAAACATTAGCAGAGGGAGCTGGAGTGGAGTGTCCCCAAAATTGTATGTATGTAACTTCAAGTCTAGTCACAAATGTAAGAATTTATAGGTATAAAGGGTCAGTTCAGCTGAATACCATCACTAAAGGTTGTGCTTCCCTTCTCTGTATAGTCAGTGTATCTACAACACAATTCTATAAAAGGATTTCCTGACCTCATTTCCCTATAGAGAAAAATTCTGTATTTAAGTATACACATGCATAGGTTTCACTTTTATCTGAACATATGGATATCAGCTTCATGGAAGAGCACACATAATTCTACATCTCCATCCTCATACACTTAGCAAAAAGAGCTTTTGCCTAAGCTGATTCTGAGCTTATAGAGGAGGATATAGATATGTTTTTTACCATGATTCTTTGAGTAATATGACCGACAAATTGTTATCACAACAAAGGATTTATCTATATGATGCATATTCAGTAATAATAAAATGATCATCAATAAACAATTTATCTATATGATGCATATTCAGTAATAATAAAATGATCATCAATAAACAATTTATCTATATGATGCATATTCAGTAATAATAAAGTAATCATCACTTCCATAAGTGGAAGAACAAAGGGCACTTTTCTTCAATAGAATCTGTAAGATGGCAATTTTATTTGTTCCAGCTCTTTGTCCTCCATTTATCTGTATTACATATTATAATTCTGCATACAGCTGAAGTTATTAGGGACACAGCATGAAGGAAAGTGTAGTGATAAATGATGAAGTAGAGCAAGTAATTTAAAACAATACAATAAAACTAAAAGTTTGTTTCATTGAGGTAAGAAACATATGTAATCCATTTACCCAAAGTATGTGATACTGATGATGATTTTAAGTCTACCAGAACTGAGATAGTTTGCTTGGTAACCCTAAATGATAAAATATCAAAATCTATCCAATTGAAAGAGGGGGGAAATGAAGCTACATTTCTCAGAAGTATTTCTCAAATACTGGTCTTTCATATAGCTGGACTGCTGTCAGAGATAACTTTAACTGGTCAAGTATCCTGATTCATTAACAGTATTTTACAGGGGTTGCAGACTTCAGTTACCATTTTTATGTTTTTCTCAACCTCGCTAGTTCAAACTCAGCAGAAGTTCCTCAGATACTTAACACAGTTTGGCTTGATAAGAATCTTTGTACTAGAATGAAGACACTTAAAATAATCGATTCCTCCCTTTCCCATGGTTTAATGGATACCTTGCTCATGTTCCTTAGACGTGGTGTTAGATGGCAGCTGTTGTTGACGTAATTGGCATTCCTGCTGTGGGAAACACCCAATGTAACTCCTACAGTTTTTGTGATCTCCATGTTTTTTCTTTATCTTGCATCACAACACAAAGATAGAATTGCCCCAAGTTGCATTAGGAAATGTCCAATTCCTTGGATGTAGGTATCTGAAAATTCTCTACAAATAATATGCCTAGCAAAACCTTTTGGTCTAGCAAAAAAAAAAAAAAAGCCTATGCCAAACACTTTCCATAGTCAAGCTTTTTAAGCCGATAAATCACCAAAGAAAAGGAACAGCAACCTTACCATTTTGGAAGGTTACATTAAAGCTATTTAATTTGAATCTTTGCCAATGTGAGCAAATGCATCAAAAAAGATTAAGAGCAAATCTTAATAGACATGAAAAATTCCCATTAGTTCAAGTTAGGGCATGGTGAAGGGGGTTGATGGTATTAGGAAGGGTATGATTCTCTGGTTTAACATCTGTTAATAGCAGCCAATCCATTTCAACAGGACACCAACTATGCATTGGAGAAATGGCCAAGCAATGTGAAACAATAAGGGGTAAAGAAGAAGAGGAAACAAGGTGATTTGAAGCTGTGCCACATTTGTCACACTTCAAATAACGGACCATCTTCTTTCAGTACTTCCAAATGAAGGGAAGGGAAGGGAAGGGAAGGGAAGGGAAGGGAAGGGAAGGGAAGGGAAGGGAAGGGAAGGGAA